ATGATGCCATCCACGAAGGGATGACGCCGAGTAGAATGATGATCGTATGTTGCACGACTAGCATGGGTATGTGTAGAACGGTGAGTTCGGAAGGATTCTAAAGCGTAAGTGGGATCTGATGTGGAATGATGCTCTTCGGTTGTCGTTGGAACATGGCTAGACCGAGGTGGTGGCGATGGGGAACGATGTTGTTGCCCATGGGCTCGAAAGGCTGCATTCTCGGCACCATCTCTATTTTGTATTTACCCTCATTGTTGAGTGGTTCTACCCATTTTTGTGGGGTTAGATGTAACCAACGTACTCTATTGTAATCCTTACGTTTTTAATGATATATATATGTATTGTTTCATTCTTTGTTGTGTACGTTTCTAAGCTTAATGCTTGCTTTGGATTGATCACCCTTTGCATGATTTAAGGTTCCATTGAGTATTGGAAAATACCATTGAAACTAGTTCTGGAACATATGCCTAGTGGAGATTGTATCTAGGGATAGAGCTTGACCCATTAGTAGTCTTAAACCCTAATCTGTAATGTGGGTGTAGGTATTGGGTACTCAAGGGATTGATATTCAATATACGCACCTAGGCTCTTTTTCTAAGGGATTAGGTTTGAGTAAACTTATGGGTTGACTAAGCAATGTATGTAACAAGAGATTAAGGATTCATTAGTTTGACGTTCGGTGAAATTTAACCCCCACAACCTCACAAAACCATTATACCATCTCTAACCTTTTCCACTCACAATCAACTATTTTTGTAGTTTAACATTCCAATAGTCACAACCTTGAATTCACATGACAACTATGAAATTGGAATCATTCTTTAGTCACGAATAGTCAATAAATGCTTATTTTACCTTCTAATCCCTGTGGATACAATATTTTTACTACTTGAACGACCGGTATACTTGCCGTGTTTGAGACCGTTGATAAAATTAAACTGATTTACAATTATAACAAAAGTACTTCAACGGAAATTTCAACAGAGTGCTTCGTATTCAGCTTGGTTGTTGGTGGCTTGAAAATCAAATTTGATGGCTAATTCTAGCATCATATTGTTGGGTCCTTCAAGAATTATGCCCGCACCACTTCCTTTAACATTGGACGATCCATCTACATGCAAAATCCAGGTTGGATTTTCAATTTGGACGGTGGGTGTGAGCTCGGCAATGAATTCGGCAAGACATTGGGCCTTGAGGGGTCCTCGACTTTCATATCTGATATCGTACTCGGACAATTCAATTGACCAAGCTGTCATTCGACCAGCTAGATCAAGCTTTCTGAGTATTTTCTTGATAGGATAATCGGTCTTGACCACAATTTGGTGACTTTGGAAGTAAGGACGTAGTCGGCGAGCCGAGGTCACCAGCGCCAACGCCAACTTCTCAATTGTTTGATATCTTTTCTCGGTATCCTGCAAAACACGACTGATGAAATAAATGGGAATCTATTTTTTACCATCTTCTTGTACAAGAGTTGCGCTAAGAGCATTATCAGCTACAGCCAGGTATAATAAAAGTTGAGCTTGGTTGCTTGGCTTAGACAAGATGGGGGGAGCAGACAAGAATTCCTTGAAATTGGTAAAGGCTCGTTCACATCGGTCGTCCCACTGGAAATCTTTTGGCTTTTAACCGAGATAATGAGGCAAGTCGGCCTGCCAACCTTTGCACCTCCTTGTGATTTTGTGGACTGCGCATAGTAATCAGAGCTTCCACCTTGGACACCAAAAACACATTTCTCGGGATTTAATCTCATATTGTGGCGCCGGATTTGTTGAAAAATCTCCTCTATGTCTTGGACATGATCCGCAGGTGACTTGGTTTTAATTACCATGTCATCAACATAGACCTCAAGGTTACGTCCAATTTGCTTGGCGAACACCTTATCCATTAATCGTTGGTAAGTTGCTCCCGTATTCTTGAGTCCAAAAGGCATAACTCGATAACAATAATTGGCATGCTCAGTGATAAATTTAGTATGGTCTTCATCCGGGGGATACATTAAAATTTGGTTGTAACCTGAATATGCGTCAAGAAAACTGAGCATACCATAACCTGAAGCTCCATCAACTAATCTGTCAATGCTGGGGAGTGGGTATGAATCTTTGGGGCAAGCTCTATTTAAATCTGTATAATCAACACACATACGCCATTCCCATTAGATTTTTTAACCATAACAACATTGAAATGAAGGAGTTTTCGAATTTGGCGTGTTGGTATGTTACCCGTCAACCCTCCGTCACCCCCGGCCACGGCCGCTTTGATGTCCTCTCCCTCTCTGCCACGCTCCTCCTCCACGACTCGCCGGCAATCGCAGTCTCCGCCTTCGCCGTCTGGCTCGCTGGCCCGCAGAGTGGGAAGAAACAGAAAGATTCCGAAAAAAAAAATTAAAAAAGGTGAACTTCATATTAACCATTTATCTAACGTGGATATAAATTTTAAATAATTAAAAAATTATAAATAACTTGAATTTACATGTAGGTGACACATCATCAACAGTAACGGTACCCTTCTTTTATACATGGTACCGTAGAAATTCTCTTTTTTATTTAGTTGTTATCAATACTTTCTCCTCTATTTTTGCTCCTTCTTCAATCCTTCCTCTTTGTTTCTTCGTCAACACGCAGCACCCCTTTCATTCTTTTACTTTGTAGCATTCCTTGCAATGGCAGGGGCTTGTTACGTCATTTTAATATTATTGTATAGAAAAATCACATTTAATTCATTTTATACATTCATAATGTTTCTGTCATGCATAAATGTCAAAATTTGACTCAAGTAGCAATTTGCAACAAAGCATTTTAGTTTTCCAATGTTTGGCGTTTTAACAACCGCCAATTTTTCAATTTTGTAGTAATGTCAAAGAACCAAAAGATAACAAATTACACGCCAACTGACGATAAAGATTAAAACTCAGAAATTTTTTTGGTATAGTAGTGGCACGAATATTCAAATATTTGACAAGCAAAATTAAAATAATTAAAATGATATAGCAAGAGTTTGATGCATCTCATATCCAAGTGTTTTATATGACAAGATTAAAACAATGTAAAAGTTCCAACTGTTATGGTGTGTCAAAACAAATTGCTACTTGCAAGGAAATTTAAACTCTGAAACATGGAGACTCTCCAATTTAAAGCAAATGAGAATTACATGATGTAAGATGATTTAAAAGAAACAAAATTCGTAAAATAAAGTGAGGAGAAGAAAGATAGGGAAAAAAGGTTGATTGAGACTAAAACATTAAAAAAAATGTCCAAATAAGGACTAAAATGAATAATTTTAGTACAAGATCTAAAAGATAATGGTTGTGTAAGTACAAGATCAAATTGTAAAAATAGTGAAATACAAGAAATAAATCGTAAAACTCAATATATGTCGATATAGGGGCTAGAACAATTTTTTTTTGTGTAGAGACTTAAAAAATAAAGTTTGTGCAAATATTGGACCAATTGTGTAATTAAACTTTTCATGAAAAAAAAATTTATTACACTTCTTAATTTATTTATAAAAACCTTAAACGAGTGATAAAATGAAATAAATATAATATTGTACTTAACATGCTTCAATCTTTTTTCAAAATTTATATGTAGACAAAAAATCATGTGATGTGCTTGTATTAAATATATTAATACTATAAAATGTTCCCATATCAATTAACTTTTTGAATACTTAAAAAATAAAAACTTTGTTCTCACCGATTATTATAGGAATGTACTTTTTGATTTGGGTTTAAATACATTAAACAAATGGTAAAGAGGAGGAATGGATGTAATATTATAGTATTATTATATTTAGTCTATACTATTATGTTTGCCATCGTTAATTATTTATATATTTATTAGAATGTTAAATCACTATTCTAAGTAATATGCACAACTATATGATATAATATGGTGTCATACGACATTTCTGAAAAAATTATAAATTTTAAGAAAATATTATTTATTTACTTTAACATGAATGTTAGAGGGAAAAAAATAGGAACTTAAAGGGAACAGAAATTTGATTTGGTCAAGGACCTCAATTACATCTTAATTTTTACTATTTTGACTACGTTATATCGTGGTGTAAAAACAAACTAGGTTACATCATTCATTTTTCATACTTAATAACTATTTATTACCCTTTTTTAGCGGTTATATAAGAAATCATGAGGTATTAACATGTAAATAGCTCCTAGCTCTCTGAACTAGTGGGTTGGGACATATCCATGACAAGATAAAAAATAAAAATAAAAACTTCCGGTTATTTCTCATATCTAGATTTGGATTTCTACCTAACTTTGAATTATTTACTGTAATAATATTTTTTTAAAAAAAATTAAAATTGGACCTCCTCTATAATTATTTACCTAAGTAAACTTGTTTTCTGTAACTGTCGTAATTCGGTTCCTCGAAATCGAATTTCGAACAATGTATTTTTTTTTAATGTAAAAATTGTTTTATTAATTATATAAATTTATATATAAAATAATTTATAATTATAAAAATTAATAATGCTAATAATTTATAATATTAATAATTTATATTTTTATGAAGCAACAAACTTAATAATTTATAATTTTAATGAGTTATAAATTTAATAAATTATAATTTTAATAATACATAGCTTTAATAATTCATAATTTTAATAACTTCTACTTTTAATAATTTTTAATTCTAATAAATTATAATATTAATAATTTATACTTTTAATCATTTTTAATTTTAATAAGTTAAAAAATTATTAAAAACATAAATTTTAAATTTGAGTGACATAAATAATAATGTTTGATATTTTAAAGACTAAAAATACAAATTTTAAATTTTGAAGAAAAAAATATATTACTCAAATGTATGAAATTAAAAAGATAATTAAACCTCAAATTAAAAAATAATAATATATAAATAACTAGTTTAATTTAATTTTTTTTAAAAAAAAGTGTAAATTCATATATGAACCGGTCAATATCATATTTTAACACGAATTAAGAAAAACATGGAAACCAATTTAATTGGTTGAATTCAGATGATGGAGTTGCTCTGATTAATGGCATTCCTAAATAGTAAATAGGGTGTGTGAAAAATATCTTGTGTAATCCGAACGTAACAGAAACAGAAGGAAGAAGTGAGCGTGGGAGAATGAAAACGGAAACAGAGCCAAAGGAAAGCGAGTCAGATTGGGGCGAGTTGACTCGCGAGTGCCTCATCAACATCCTCTCTCGACTCAGCGTCCGCGATCGATGGCGCGGCACCATGCTCGTTTGCAAGTCATGGTTCAGTGCCTTCAAGGAACCCTCTCTTCACTCCGTCTTCGACCTCGATTCCCAATTCGACTCGCTCCCCGAGTTGACTCGCTGGTGGACCCTCGAGTTCGAGGCTAAAATCGATTGCATGCTTCTATCTGTCGTCGAATGGGCCCAATCCTCTCTCACCCAGATACGCATTCGCCACTGCTCCGATCGCTCTCTTGCTCTCGTCGCCCAAAGGTTCCAACTTTCTCGCATATTCCAATACCCATTTCTTTCCCCTTCGCCAATCGAGGCTGGCCCCAATTGGGTCTCCAAATTTTGGTCCCTTACGTTTGTTGATTTTGAATGGAATTGATTTTTTTTGTTAAAGCTGATTTTGATTTGAAGTAATTTATGTTTGGATGTTTTTTTTTAAAAGCTAAGTTAGCAGCAAAATTCGAATTTTTTTTTTTTAAACTCAAAACAAAAGCTAAGCTGGATGTTTGATTTACAGAAAATTACTTTAAGTGGTATTTCAATGGTGATTTTGGATCATCTAACATGAATCCAAACACGCAATATTTTCTTCTGTTTGGATATAAGATTTCAAAAGTATGCTATGAATTTTCTTTTTCATTAGGCTTTTGTTCTGAAATTCCAGTATTTTAATGGACAAAACTTCAGTACAGGATCATATGTGTTGTGGTGGTGTTGTTCTCTAGTCATAATTAGAGTTTTATTATATTTCGATAATATGTGTTGATATTTAATAAATATTTTATTATGCATGTTAACAAAGTAAAATTTGAATTCGGATTAGTGAATAATACTAACAACATCCATGATATTATATTTAAGTGTTGTGAATATAACATAGCATTGCAGCATTTAGCTTCTTTTGTGTGTTTTTTTAATATAATATATCTCGCCATTTCAGATGCCCGAATCTTGAAGTGTTGTCTATCAGAAGCTGCCCTCGTGTTACTGATGATTCTATCTCTAGGATAGCTTTGAGTTGTCCGAAGCTCAGAGAATTGGACATCAGCTATTGTTATGAGATAACCCATGAGTCATTGGTGCTGATTGGGAAAAATTGCCCCAACCTCAAAGTTCTCAAAAGAAATCTCATGAATTGGCTTGATCCTTCCCAACACCAAGGAATTGTTCCTGATGAGTATCTAAATGCTTGTCCGCAAGATGGAGAATCTGAGGCTGCTGCAATTGCTGATTCCATGCCTGGTCTGGAGTGGCTTGAGATTAGGTTCTCCAAGTTATCGGCCAAGGGCATCAATACCATTTGCGAGGGATGTCCCAACCTTGAGTTCTTGGACTTGTCTGGGTGTGCTAACTTAACTAGCCGAGACATTGTAAGTGCATCTTCTAGTTTGGTGCACTTGAAAGAGATTAAAAAGCCAAATTTCTATATCCCCAGGTCTGTCTTCCACACTGAGAGGTATGGACATTGGAGATTGTATGATGAGAGATTTCAAACTGATATTTTCCGAATCTGAACAGTGATTGGAAGATTGATCCAAGACGTAAACTGTGTGAGTCCATGACTCCATCTTCTTTCTGCTGCTTTGGTGGAGATCTTAATAGGGTCTCTGGTTATTGCCACAGTCAAATATATATTGTAGAAATTATAATCTCTGTCTATGTAATTTTATGCTTGCTTCATTTGCCTTCCATCAGTAACATGCATTTTGCAATGTATTTGTGTGGAAGATCATTATCCCAAGTTCTCATAAAGGATTTACCTGTTAATATTCTAATTAATAATTATTTCCTTTTTCTTTTTGAATGCTGCATTACTTATATGTTTCTCTTAGCAACCTACCATCAATTGTCCCAGGAATTGACGTTCTTAAATTTTACGTTTTTCTTACTTTCCTTAAAGAGAGTACCCTCACCGTTGCACCTTATATATGCTTATAGGACAATATCTACAGCTAGAATTTAAATTGGTAATCAGTGAGTGATAATTGCCGAGTTATTAGAGCCAGTAATTTAGGTGAGTTGTGATTCTGATGTTTGATAATTCTCAATGTTCCATTCTGAATTTTTATTCAGATTACTAGCTGATAATTGCCGAGTCATGTGCTTCTATCGAATTCTGATGTATGGTTTCGTTCTAGATGAAGTGATGTCTCTAAACATTATATAAAGTACCTAGTCAACTAAGAAACCCAACCTTGAGTTTTTTCTTTAAGCATGGAAAAATTACCGAGATGATCCAAAATTTATAATATATAAAAGCTAAGAGCAGGAGTGCTCGATATAACAATACAAATCAAAATTCAGAAGTACACTGCTAACTCATTGCAGAGTTCTGGATTTGATTCACTAAGAGTACCATAGATTTCAGACATGTCTAGCTAATCATATATACGATTGTGTACCTTATTATGTTTAGGGTGCGCTAATAATAATTTAGTGGTAGTAGTTTAAAGCTTAACTTATGTTTTGGGTAACGTATAAAAGATGAACATTCCGCAATAGGAAATAGACAAACTATAGATAAGTTCTATATATAATTTTAACTAGTTATCAAGATGAAATTTCAATTCTAATTAGAGAATAATATCAATATTATCTAAGTTATTATATCTAAATTATTTCCCTAAGGAATTCGATAGAAGCAAGGAACTAAAAGCAATCCAAAAACAAGATGTCCGAGTGCCACCAAGAATAAGGATGGTGGTTTAATTGAATATGAGTTTGATGCATTCCGGACACTGCGTGGCCTTAAGTTGGTTGGTCCTCTATAAGTTGCAGCCTTTCCTAACCGGGAAATCCTCCTTTGTAGGGCAGCATGCAATTCTTGAACTCTTCTTTTAATGCACGGTTTGCTTGATCCCAAGATCATACCGTGCATTGCTGCATGCAAGAGAGAAATTGTTTTTGATCAAAATGTCACGTGATTTTGATATAAGAAATAGATGAAGAATTTGAGAGAAAAAGAAAAACTAGCAAATTGCCAATTTGCCATGTTCAAAGTTGGTTACGTTTTGGTTCCTCTTGTGGCTTGGAGGTCTTAAGATTTCCGGTATTTGCAGTGCATGTTCTTCCATAAGCTGAATATGTGAGGATGCTGAAAAACAGAAAGAACCACATAACTAGGGTTTTGCTGCTCATGTTTTGAACTTGATTCAATGTAAACTGTCAAGTCAAGCTATTGTCGGAGTTACTGTTAAGGCAATAAGATAAAATAGAGTTTGTGGAGATGCACTTGGATTACTAATCAACTTCATTATTTATAATGAGGTTTCAGTCTTAAAAACACACAGATTAAACTACTACGTTAGGTAACTTTATTAATTTGAACATAATTAATTTCATTGATGTGGGCAACGATCAAAGAGAAGGGTCATTATCAGATAACTCTTAGAATGATTCCTTTGTGGAAAAGAGACACGTCCGTGTAGATGCTTTATTTAATTTATATAATAATTATGCAAACTTATCAAATGTATTGACTAAGTATAGCGTCAACAAATCCCCAAAGACAAACTAATATAGTCGAGTAGTGGAAAGTATGGATAGTATATATAATATTTTAAAAGAGGAGAGTTCAAATGTAATTTTTATTAAATATTATATTATTCAATAATTTTATATTAAAGATAAATTTTATAAATTTAACAGTTAAATTGAAAGTTTATATTATTTTATATATTTATATTAAATTTTATTAAAATTGAATAATAATTTGAAAGTAATCAAAATACTTATATTTTATTATATTTTAAAATGTATATATTACATTAATTTGTTATATATAATTTAAAAGTAAAGATATTCAATTTAATGATTGAATTTATAAAATTCACATTTAATATAAGATTATTGAATGATATAATATTTAATAAAAGTAGAGGATGAGAAAGTGAATAATTAATATAAAATTTTGTATATATAATTTAAGAGTAAAAAAATTTTAGATTTATAAAATTTATATTTAATATAAAATTATTAAATAATATAATATTTAATAAAAATTATATCAATATTGTTTGATCCCTTCTTTATCTTAAATAATATATATTATATCTAATAATTATCCAAAATTTATCGTATTTAGTTTGTGATTAAACCACGATATAAAATTATTTTTTAATACATAACTTATTCTCTTCTTCTTTTATAAAAAAATAATAATAAATAAAAACTGAGCACGGGGAATTCGGAAAACTGGTTGAGAATTTATTCTTGTAGAAATTAGATCAGTGGCGACGCAAAAGTAAAGGAATAAAGAGATCTTGGGATTGATTTGTGAAAAGTGAAAACTGATTTATTTTTTTAGACCATTAAAGTTATAATATATTTTAAATTAAACTAATTTAATGGTAAAATTAGAATAATATGCACAAGATGTTGATTAGAATTTTATTACTGTTATGCAATTTTTTCAACAATAAATTAATAATAATAAATATATTTTTATTTGTTGATTTTGTATATCATTTTAGCCTTTTTATTTTTGAAGGTTTCTACACATCTTATGAACATTCCTTTATCTAGACGGTGGGAGATTCTTTGCTGACTGTGTATCGGTGTGGCCATTCCTTGGCCTTATCAAATACAAGATATAAAATTATAATTAGGAAACCCTTTCGGCTAAGCTAAGCGAACATTCATTTTTTATTTTTAAATTTTGACAACACTGGGCCGGTGATTTTATCCTTTTTGTCGAGAAAATGATGTCCTCGTAGAGGCATCAAAGTTAGTTATAATCTCAGTTAATCTGGTTCAACTTTACTGTTGCTCGTGTTTAGGGTTTAGGGTTTTCAACCCGGTTTTTTATTTTTTTAAATTAATTTTCCCTTTTTTTAAAAGAATCTGTATATTTTATTTTATTTTATTTTCTTATTGAACTTTTGAAATTATATATCTCTCCTCTCTCGTATTTCTTTACATTTCTATTTTAAATTTTTAAAAAATTTTAAATAAGGTGAGTTGGTTTGTAAACCAACCTATCTAATTCATCAACATGTACTAGATGAGTAAGGTTATTTATTTTTGTTTTTGCTTACCAAAAGAGTAGAGTTTGCGTTGCTTCACTATACTGAGCTAACCTGACATCTCTTATGGAAATAGTTTCACCTATCACCTATGATCCGGTGGCGTTACAGCTCAAATTTATTTATTTATATTCACATATTCCAAAATCTTTTAGTTGATGAGCTGTACCTTCCCGGTAAAATTCCAATTAGACTCCCCACTCGCCTAATACCCGTCTGGACCGTCACCGCGTGCAGCAACTCGGCTCTAACTCAATTACATGCACCCGCGAGGGCATTCGCCGTTTTCCCGACAGGTCTCTTTGTAGCGGCCTTGTCGGTAAAATCCCGACTTGACTAACCACCACTCACCCCCAGGGCTTCGAGATAAGAACGGTTAAGGGGGATCTCGATAATCGCGGGGCCCACGAAGCCCATAACACAAAAGTATAAAACCCAAAACCCTAGGGCTAGGACGACAGATTACACTTTTGAATGCTCTGGCTTTGAGGCTTGACCTAGGCAGAAACCCTAGTCCATCCCTTGACCGGAACATTTTGGCGCCCACCGTGGGGTTACGGTAAAACTTTTCCTACGTCCCAAGAAATATAAAAAACCTACACTCTACTATGGCAAGAGGCGGCACATCCAACCACGACAACAACACCCTACCATGGAGGAGATGATGGCGTTGATCAATGGCTTGAAAGAGGAGCGCGACCCAGAGAGAGAGAAGGAGAGGAAGTTTCCCGCACAAAAACAGAGTGGGCTCTGTGTTTTCGTCGGTGTAAGGTCTTGCACCGTTGGATCGAGCTGATTTTTGGACTGTAGGTTCCAGAAATGTGGTTCTTCATTCTGACCGTTCGGATTATTAACCGGAGGCCTGGTTTGGGAGAAAACAGCTTCATATCAGTAGGTGAAAGTGTTCCAGCACAAAACAGAGCTGGTACTGTGTTTTAATCGGTGTGAAGTCGTTCACCGTTGGATCGGGATGATTTTTGGACTATAGGTTCCGGAAGTGAGGTTCTTCATTCTGACCGTTCGGATCGTCAATATGAGGTCTGGTTTGTCAAAGAACAGCTTCGTATCAGCAAGTGGAACCGTTTGACGGAAAACAGGATCCTAGTCAACATCTAATGGACTTTCGTGCTCAGATGTTAATTCGTGGAGGAAGCATGGGAGTCTGCTGCGAGGGTTTTATGCTACAAAGGTTTTTAACGAGGTAACATCAAATAATAAAAATCGTTATTTTCAAATTGATTGACTCGCAGGAAAACTCGTGATTGTCGGCAAAAGTCCGGCTGGGCGAGTATAAATAACTCGAAGACCAAACTCGTGATTGTCGGCAAAAGTCCGGCTGGGCGAGTATAAATAACTCGAAGACCAAACTCGTGATTGTCGGCAAAAGTCCGGCTGGGCGAGTATAAATAACTCGAAGACCAAACTCGTGATTGTCGGCAAAAGTCCGGCTGGGCGAGTATAAATAACTCGAAGACCAAACTCGTGATTGTCGGCAAAAGTCCGGCTGGGCGAGTATAAATAACTCGAAGACATAGATTACGATACAAGCAGTTTCTTTAACTTAGCACATCTTATTCACCCTTGTTAATCAGAATTTTGACGATTCCAAACACACAAGTCGGAGTTTGGACGACCCGTGCATATAATTGCAGCTCAATGCTGATCTGACAGTTCTATTCCATTATTTGAATTCTACTAGTTCATTTTAAATCTAAAGAAAGGTTCACTTATTGTTTTTGAGTCGGCGTTGGGCCGATTGCATGGTTAAATTGCACTAGAACTTGGAAAAATTTTCATTCACTATTTTAAGTCGGCGTTTGGCCGATTGCATGGTTAAATTTCGCTTGAACTTGGGAAAAATTTTCATTCATTATTTTGAGTCGGCATTGGGCCGATTGCATGGTTAAATTTCACTTGAACTTGGAAAAATTTTCATTCATTATTTTGAGTCGGCATTGGGCCGATTGCATGGTTAAATTTCACTTGAACTGGGAAAAATTTTCATTCATTATTTTGAGTCGGCATTGGGCCGATTGCATGGTTAAATTTCACTTGAACTTGGAAAAATTTTCATTCATTATTTTGAGTCGGCGTTGGGCCGATTGCATGGTTAAATTTCACTTGAACTTGGAAAAATTTTCATTCATTATTTTGAGTCGGCAATGGGCCGATTGCATGGTTAAATTGCACTTGAACTTAGAAAAAATTTTCATTCATTTATCATCTTTGCAGTCGGAATTTGGCCGACTGATCCATTGATTTTGAAGTTAGAAAAAATGTCATTTATTTATCACTTTTACGGTCGGTATTTGGCCGATTGATCCGTTGGTTTTGAAGTTTGAAACTTACAAAAAATTTCATCACTTTTGCAGCCAGTATTTGGCCGATTGATCCATTGATTTTGAAGCTTGAAACTTTGAAGCAATCATTTTCATGTATTTATTATTTTCCTAGTCGGTATTTAGACGACTATTTTCACGTTCAACTTTTTACTTAGAAAAAATTAATTATTTTCCTAGTCGGTATTTGGACGACTAGATGAGTTGATATTCATTTTTAACTTTGAAAAAGTTTGGCGTTTTCCTAGTCGGTATTTGGACGACTAGATGATTTGATATTCATTTTTAACTTTGAAAAAGTTTGACATTTTCCTAGTCGGTATTTGGACGACTAGATGATTTGATATTCATTTTTAACTTTGAAAAAGTTTGACATTTTCCTAGTCGGTATTTGGACGACTAGATGATTTGATATTCATTTTTAACTTTGAAAAAGTTTGACATTTTCCTAGTCGGTATTTGGACGACTAGATGATTTGATATTCATTTTTAACTTTGAAAAAGTTTGACATTTTCCTAGTCGGTATTTGGACGACTAGATGATTTGATATTCATTTTTAACTTTGAAAAAGTTTGACATTTTCCTAGTCGGTATTTGGACGACTAGATGATTTGATATTCATTTTTAACTTTGAAAAATTTTGAATTCCTTTGAATTCCTTTAGGCAAAGGTTCAGAAAAAACACTCCTTTATCATTAAGTCACACTCGTCTCACCAAGGGAAAGAATAACAGCACACAAAGCGACGAAGCATGAAAGCTAAACTTGGTAAAAAAGACAAATTCTTGATACGCAAAAGTCAGTCAATTACACAGAGAATTGAAATTAGAAGGCTAAACAAATGCAAAAGGCAAGAGAGGTTTGTAAAGACAGATTCAATCTTCCTCGGGGGGATCTACGAGCTGCCCATCCACGATCTCTTTGAAATAGCCAAGGCCTCCAAGGTCGACATCGGCGTACAAAAACTTCACTTGAGCAGTGGCAGCATCAAACCCTTGAACAAACTTCTTTAGAGAATCCATTTTCGCCGCTTGAAGGTCGTTCTGAAGTTTCTCTACTTCAAGCTTCATCAAGGACAAATCTTTCTCAAGGGCATTAGCGGCATCGGCCGACTTGTCCCTTGCCAGGCGTGTCTCGGTCAGCTCACTCTTCAGTGCAACCTTCTCGGCTGCCAAAGCTTGCTTCTCATCCTCGAAGACGCGACGCCCTTCCAGCAACTTATCCCGCTCATTAACCACCCATTTAAAATCCGCCTTACATTTAAAATTCGCCTTCCCGGTAAAATTCCGATTAGACCCCCCACTCGTCTAATATCCGACTGGTCTTCCAGGCCACAAGCCTTCTCGCCTTATCGGCTCAGGGCTGGAAGGCAAGTGTACCTGCCCGGTAAAATTCCGATTAGACCCCCCACTCATCTAATATCCGACTGGTCTTCCAGGCCACAAGCCTTCTCGCCTTATCGGCTCAGGGCTGGAAGGCAAGTGTACCTTCTCGGTAAAATTCCGATTAGACCCCCCACTAGACTAATATCCAACTGGTCTTCCAGGCCACAAGCCCTCTCGCCTTATCGGCTCAGGGCTGGAAGGCAAGTGTACCTTCCCGGCAAAATTCCGATTAGACCCCCCACTCGCCTAATACCCGTCTGGACCGTCACAGCGTGCATCAACTCGGCTCTAACCCAATTACATGCACCCACGAGGGCATTCGCCGTTTTCCCGACAGGTCTCCTTGTAGCGGCCTTGTCGGTAAAATCCCGACTTGACTAACCACCACTCACCCCCAGGGCCTCGAGATAAGAACGGTTAAGGGGGATCCCGATAATCGCGGGGCCCACGAAGCCCATAACACAAAAGTATAAAACCCAAAACCCTAGGGCTAGGACGACAGATTACACTTTTGAATGCTCTGACTTTGAGGCTTGACCTAGGCAGAAACCCTAGTCCATCCCTTGGCCGGAACATGAGTATTTAGAATTTTTTACATAAATAATATTTTTTTTTAAAAAAATTACAAAAGTAACATCTGTGCAACTTTATTTACTCAACTAGAACCAATCACGGGAATCAAATTCTGAGATTTTTAAAAAAAAAAATTGTATTTGTGGCCCAGTTTGGGCGAATCTGGGAAGTGGAACGGCCCGTTCTGGAAGCAGAACGACCCGTTCTGCTTAAACGCATAGAGTGTTATTTTTTAAATTAGAACGGGTGCAGAACGGACCGTTCCAATTTTAAAAATAACACTCTATTTGTTTAAGCAGAACGGGTCGTTTTGCTTCCGGAACGGCCCGTTTCACTTCCCAGCTTCGCCCAAACTGGGCCACAAACGCAAAAAAAAATTAAAAACAACTCAGAATTCGATTTCCCTAAACACAAAAAAAATTGAAAATAAAGTTACACAGATATTACTTTTGTAATTTAAAAAAAAAATATTATTTATGTAAAAAAATTCGAGTATTTATGTCTATATATTTTTCTTGTTTTACTTATAGGTTGAGATCATATTCAAATCAGGTAATATTTGGATCGATTAAAAGGAAGTAAAATGAAATAAAATAATGTCATATTTTATATTTGGATAGTTTATAATAATAATAAATAAATAAATAACTCATATACCAACCCATTTGTTTTTACAAAATATTGCATCTTTTTTATTTTATTTTTTTATTTCAAAAATTTTATTATTTTCTAGACTATTTATAAAAATAAAAAATTGTTTTCATAATTATTTCTAAAAACTAAAATTAGAGACATGAACTATTTCCTCTAATCTATTTGATAAAAAAATTAAAAAAAAATTAAAAAAAAAAAACAAAGGTTTAATGCTCTGTGGTTGTATGCGTTTTTATTCTAAGATAGAAAATAATTTACATTATCATTCAATTATAAATTATTATTATTATGTACCATAATGCATGAGTCTCGTTAATCCAAAAATATCTTATACCTAATCACATAAGTAATTAATAAGTTAAGGTACTATTTTTAGTTCATTACTAAAGAGTATTTCTTGTAGAACATGGAAACATGTTGAGAAAATTTAAATTAAAAAGTTAGAACTTGTGTTACTGTTGATTTTATGTCATTTTTCAAAAAAGTACTACATTTTAAAATTAATTAACATTTTCTCGTTAGTCAATCCAATTAAAATGGTTCCACCTCTCATTGTTGATGTCCTTCATTTCACATGTAACTTTTTTTTTTAAGAGTATTTTTCAACTTGCTATTTAACAACGCTCTGCTTTTTCATCACTCCAACTAAAATGATGTTGATCCGTCCTGAATTTTTTTATAGACGAAAGTAAAAATTTACGCTCAAAACCATTTTTTGATATGTGCAAATTATAATTCAAACAAGCACTAACCATTAGTGTTTCATCGAACGGGCTAAATGCCAATCATGTTTAGCGAAAGAGGCAATTAATAATATCCGGTTTAAGCTTCAGAAACGATGAGACACCGCCAAGTTGTTTTGCCAATTCACCCGTGACTCGGTCCATATACAGCGCATATAGTCCATTTCTGCTTTCCAGAAGTTCCAATGCCTTTCTTGCCTGCATAATTGATGTTACCCAATCTTCAAGAAGCACTGTAATGTCATTGTTACCAGTCAGTTAGCAAAAATATTTGATAGGTAAGACAGAAATTGAACAAGAATATACAGTAAAAACGTAATACAATAGTTTGATAAACAAAAATGCTAGATGTGGCACACTTATTTGTTTTGGATCATAGAAATAAGGAGTCAATATGTCAGCAAATTATTTAAGTTCAGGAAGTATATTGTAGATTAGTAAACATCTGTAGAAAGAACGAAGCATACTGTTGTCAAAATCTTCAGCTTTTGACCACTCTAATAAGTAATCCACCACCAAGAACTCTATAAGCTGGATCCTGACATCCACAAATAAAAGTTAGATAAATAATGTCTTCAAAAACAATATTCCTTTCGACAAAACCTGTATTGAGTCATTCATTATCATTTCCGAAACTGGAGATTATACTAATGTGCATTTAAAAAAAACTTACATTATGAACATACATTCATGCATGTCAGGAAAGCCATCATCAAAAGGATCAGAGAAAAGTAAACGTTCTGATAGCACCAAAATTCTTTGACAAACTGAAAGTATTGCCCGCTGACCAATATAAGGCTCACTTCCAAGTTTACGGATCAAATGCTGAATACAAAATTGAGCATTGGTGCCAGTGTGTTGAGACCCTTGAAGATACGAATTTGAAAAGGGAACGGCAACAAGAAGTCCATAAGTCAATAAAAAGAACGATTGAGAAATAAACGATTATAAAATGGTGAAGGGTAAAGCTACAGAAAAAAGGTCACAAATGCGACAATTTTACACTCATTTACGGTTTAGTCTTTACACATTAAACTTCAAAGTAAACCACATTTATAATTTATTGCCATAATCAATCTCAAACTAAGCATACCATTTTCTGACAAGGGTGAACACATCTGCCTAATCAAACGTGTAACAAGGCTGTTGATAATTCCTTCAACAAGTTCCAGGTTCCTTCCCATAGATAAAAGATTCTTCAATGTAACTTCAAAAAAGACGTACAAAATAATCTTCAGTGTGGATAAGAAATAAATGATTGTGCGGTAAATGTGTAATCATATAATGGTGATCCATAATGATACCATAAAAATCAATGTTAAACTTAGTATAGCTCAAGAAGTAAGATTGACGTAAATCATTCATAGATCAAATTAAAATTACCACTTGATGCGAGGAATGGGAAGTAGGGACCAGTAATAACCTTACAGCTCATCAGAAGCTTTAATGGAAGAGTGGGGGACTGACCATGGGCTTGCATGTTTACAATAAAAATTACTATGAAGTAGTTAGAATGATCTTATAACCAAAATTCATTAAGCAGCTGACCTATGCTACGCAGCTCAACCAATAGGAGCTGCCACAATAGACATGCAACGTGAGCGCGGTTTAATCCCCATAACTGCTTTCCATCCCAATTTCCCTTTTCCCATCCCCCAACATCTGGAAATCCCCTCCACCGGACCTACCGGGTGGATCCTAGGTCTTGCTTTATAGGGTTTTTCTTTAGCAGATTGATGAAATCCAGTTCAGGAACTCAAGATAATAGGGATTTTCTTCAGATGATTGATGAAATCCCCAATCAACACTGCAACGCATGAGTTACCAGATCTTAAAGTACTAGGTGTTACTCGTCACAACTCACAAGCAGGTTGAACATATGCATGAATTAAAGTCTTCGTTAATTAAGAATAATTGATTGCTAACGCCCAAATTTCTAGTTCCGCAGATTATATACGATTTCAATTTCTTAATTGAAACCAAAAGAAGTTGCAAAAGTTCTTCAATTTGTGACAAAAAGCAGTATACCGAATATAAACTCAACAGCTTGATATGCTAAGGTTTCAAATAAATAGATGTGATTTTTTGAATTATTTAATTAGAAGAACAAAAAAGGTTGGAAAAGCTCTTCAATTAATGAAAAGAGCATAATACCCAATATAAAGTCTACAGCTTGATGCGCCAGATTTGCAAACTTGGAATCATCCACCTGCAAAATACATTGAATACGCCACATGACCCAAAAAATACATCAACACAGCATGTCAAAAAGAATTAATTGTTTACATTCTATTAAATAACACTAGGATCTGTATGAACTCTACTAGGAACTACATTATTTAAATGTTAAATGGATCTTTTTGGCCAATAAATGGTAATAAGTATGGAAGCATCCTGACAGGTGATACAGAGCCACAGAGCTCCACAAGAAAATCAACAGAGGCCCTAAGCTGCTCTGTTTCATCCTCCTCAATTAAACCTGCGGTTTTGGTTTAAAATTAGAAAACAAATTTATCACAATTGCATTCGCTTCGCATAAAAATTCCCAAAAGTAGCCAAACACGGCATGCTAAAACCTCATCTTAATCTAATTGAGAAAACCACCATTATAATTACAAATTATAAAATACATAGTTATAAATATGTTTGGATAAATTTATTTACAAATACTTATGAAAGAAAAAAAAATAAAAGAAAAAATGAACTAAGTTTTTTTATAAGTTAAAATTAGTTTAAGTATAAACTTATTTATAATTTTTAACAGAAGTTATATAATAGAACTTCTAAAAATTAGTTTATACAATAGCGAATTTTAGTTTATAGAGAAATATATTTTATTTTTCCTTCCTATATTTTCCTCTTTAAATACTTAGGGAGAAGTTTATCCAAATCCATTACCACCTCAGTCAATCACACTCATAACTAAAAATGCTGTTGATAATAAGTACCTAAAGAAAGCCGTTGCTGACTTGAAGAAGAAGAACCTACTCTTCTCCTCCTTTCCTTAAATCGCACTACAGAAAGCAAAATTTCAACGTCAATTAAAGTGAACGGTGCCGTAACAAAGAAAAAGATAACGACGACGATGATTAAACCTTGTCTTAGAAATCTGCGTCGAAGGACATCGTTGAATCTGCTCTCAGAGGCAGTTCCATGATGCTTAGCGCTTAATTCTCCGAAATTGTCGAAGAAATAACACTTGCAAGCCGCACTCTCTGGGAAGAGATCGTAGTGCGGAGCATCTACATCAGAAACTCGTAAGTCATAATGAATTCGACACTGCGTGAACGCGAGTCTATGAGGCAGAGGATGGAGGTCAAAGCTACCTTGAGAGTCCTTGAGGTCTTCTCTGAGCCTCAAGATCTCTTGTTTTCTTTCCTTAGCCTGAGAATCCGATCGTGAAATGACGAATGACGAATGACGAATGACGAATAGTAGAAGGCATCGGAATCAGATTGAGAAGAAAAGGATGGAAGCGTTTTTCGTACCTTTCGCTTCCATCGGAGAAGAGCGTCAGATTGCGAAGGAGATAGCGCACTGGATTCCTTTGCGTGCTTCATAACCTTTGATCTTAGAAGCGATATCGCTACCGCAAGCTTCAGCGATTCATCGCTCCTTCTCGCATCTTCGTTCTCTCCCATTTTCTTCAACGCTCCAAATGAAAAACAAAAAAGGCGCGAAACCTATGAGGAGTGATCATATACAAAATAATATTTGATGACCTCTTCTGTTTTTCTAGTTTAACACGTACTTCATTTTTTTTATATATATATTACATCATATCATTTATAATATTTATATAAAAAAATTTATCTCTTTTACTATATTTATTATTATTTCTCTATTTCTCTCTTTTTATTTTTATCGTTATTAAATAGGATTTAATGTTGGCCCATCTTTTATCGAAATCAAAAACGCTGGTGAAAGGGATGTTCATGATTTCTTTAGATTAATCTTTTATGTAAATATTTTCAAATTTGAATATAAAAGATAAACTGAGGTTTCATTTTTAATATAATTATTATGTCAATTTTGCACTGTTAGAATTGAATGGTTATGTAGTTTTTACATTTTTTATGGATTATACAAGTTATATCAAATATCAAATATATAATTTTGTATAAATTACTAGTTATGGTCCAAATATTTTAATTTTTCATAGACAATATGGTTTAAATTATAAAGTACAAACAATTAGGTACATTAATTTAATTTTCTTAAAAGTATAAACACATGTTCCTATATAAATTTAAGAATGTGTGTTACAAATTATTTCATTTTTATAGAATTAGACTTGTTAGTTTTTATTTTATATTTTGTTTGTTATATATAATCTTTATTAAAAAAATTATTTAATATAAAAAACTATATAATATAAATAATAAGAAATAAAAATTAAAAGTAAATTAATAAATATGTAAAATATAATAATAATAATAATAATAATAATAAGATGAAATTCAGATAATAGCCTATAAAAAACTAAATTAGTAATTTTTTATAATTGTCTCTGCTTATATAAACACGAATAGTATGATAACTTCGTGAATAAAAGTATGATTTGAATTAAATTGAAATGGTTTTCAAAATTACGCCCAAAACAAAAGTTAATCCAGTAAGAAATTATTTTGATTTTAGGCTTATTCAAACTTTAGCTATTTTTAGATCAATTTTGATAGTTGCATTGACCTCTTTATGAACCATTTCATCATTTCATGTGCTAGAACATAATTTTAGACTATATCTTTTGGAATTAATTTTTTTATTATTATTAGAATTTTAGGCTATTGAATAGCTTTCATCCTAATATTCAAGATCGCTCAAAAATATGTTGTTTTAAACTAATAGTGGCATTGGCTACGGTGAGAGGTTTAAACATGTCTCTCTCTCGATGTGAGAAAGTTACTTTGGACATTTATATTTGATAATTTAAAATTAGCAACTCAGATTTTTCTTCTTCTTTTGTTTCCTTCTCTTCCCCAAATTGAGCTTGATTCTTCACGACTACCCAATTAATGAGCAACACCATCCCATCGTAAACATCTCCTTCCTCAACCCAAACATCTCGTCGGCCAAATCACATTCTCCATGGCTTCCTTTTTTAACCCAAACAACCATTGAAACTCGTTCATACCCATTGTAGGCACCCCGAAATCACAAGTGACAACATATGAAAAAAATTAAATTTGTTATAAGGTGTCAATAATGGAGGAATGGTCAATAGCATCGCCTGATCTTAACAATCTGGAGCAAAAAACCCGCATCATAAATGGGCTTAGAATTTTAGGATCGTATCCCATTTAGCTTGGATTAAACACGAGGCTTGTGTGTTTCAATCCTTATACCCAAAACCCAATTCTAGGTGTCGTAGGGTTCTTATCTACTCTAATGTGGTAACAACAGAAGTTGTGACAACGAGAGTAAAGAAAGTAAGGCCATGTTAGGAAAGACAGGACAAAATAATCTCACCACTAATAATTTGGTTCCAACCCTGTTAGACACATGATGGAATCTCCCACCCTAGCCCGACATCTTGGTTCATAACGTGATGTGCTTCTCTTTCTCTCTCTCTTCCTTTCTCTGTGCGAGTGTTTGCCCACATTTTACAAGGCACATGCAAGCAACACGAGCTCACCCAAGTTTTGAACATGTTATGCTATGTTTGGAGTTTTGGTCTAACAAACAAGCGTCCCTTTGAATAACACTCAAAACTACCACGCTGCGTACATCGCAACTCATACCAGTCTCAAAACCCAAAAGTGTGCCATGTTAGTTCATAGAAAGCATAAACAAGTCATCTAAATTTTCTGTTAAAACACTCGAGGTCAAATTCCAAAATATATTTACTTCTACATTTCAAAAATGATTTCAACTTACTATTCAAACAAAATCAATTCATTTTAACACACTTAATAGATTCTCAAACATGAATAAAGAAAGCTCATCTCAATTCTTCTAATATTCTTTAACAGATGGAAGAAAATATAACTTTTGCTTTATAAAGTTCTGTACTGGATTTTACTATAAACCTATCTTTTTGAACTAAATAAATGGAGTATAAATCACTTCATTCCACAATTTTAATTAAAATCAATTTTACAATAATAAAACCATTCGAAATAAAATTTACAAACACTACATATACTATCTATGACATGGGTTTTAATATTTCAAAATTTAAAATTAATAATCTCCCTCCGAGATTGTTGGGACTTAAGACGTTCCTCTTATCTAGAGGAGGAGGGAGTATTAAACATGCACCCACACATAGAAAAAATCTAAAGCTTAAGGAAACGAACTTGTGAAAGTAACGACAATGATATTTATGAACTGACCAGTTTAACAATTACTCTGTCAAGAAAATAAAGGGAAAAAATGAAACTAATGAAGTACAAAAAACATTTGGACCCCCGGGTGGATGGGCCACTCTCTTTGGCACATGATTAGCCAACTCGAAAACAAAATCCTTAGCTTTATGGTTTGACTTTTCCCTCAATAAACACCTCTACGACATCAAAAAAAAAATTATACAACTCGAGAAAAATACCTGATACTGGGAGCTCCACTTTATAACATACTGTAATACAAAATGCTCTAAAAAGTGCGAGCGTAAAGGGAAGGCAATTCGAAAGTAGTGAAACAAGGCAGAGATGTACGTTCAGTTACAGAGATCACTATTCTCATGAAAAGTCATCTGATTCACTTGAGCAGACTCTGGCAGGCCTCAATATCAGATGCTTGTGAGTCCAACACAGCTTGCCCAGATGCAGAGCTAATTACCTGCATCGCAGAGGAAAATATTGCTCTCTGGAACCGGTCATCATCCACCTTCTTAAGGATTTCTCTCACCACCTTAAAATCCAAACCCCCAGCCAATACTAGTTTCCCTATTATCTCACCAAAATTATTTGGTGCTTTAGGTAAATCTATGCCGATATCATCCAGAAGAGAAGCAAATAACATGCACCCAGTCTCTATGTCTCTGGCTGAAAGAATCTTCTTAATGAACAGATATTCAAGAAGATTGGCAACAGATTCAACGCATGGGGGACTTTTATCTAGTGCAAGGGAAATGGCTTCCCTGACAACCTCAGGGTAATAAGCTGGAGATTTTAGTTCCTCCACACACTGTAATGCCTCATCCAAAAGCCGAACACTGAAATATTCTTCCAAAAGAGAAACAGTTTTACGTTGAAGTTCATCACTATTCACTTTTGTAGCTGGAGGAGCTTGTGGCTTCTCAGTGGATATGGCAGGAACAGCTTTAACAGCTTTCTCCGGGATTTGAGGTGTAGGCTCAGTACTAAAACCAAGGTTTGCCGGACGAGCAGAAGGAGTGCCTCCATGCACCAGGGCACTGCTTCTCCCACTTATAAGACCACCACTACCTTGAGGTAGTAACTTCGAGTTGACAGTTGATGTCTTGGAAAGGAAAGGAGATTGGCCTCGTCCTCCAGATTGCATGCCTGACATGTCCCCTCTTGGCATTGATCTTGTCCTAGGCACCTCCCAGTTGTCATTATCAATTCCAGGCATCCCAGGCATCCTCCTGGTCCCTGGCATCCCAGGCATCAAACCACCTGTACCAGGTCGGGCAATTGGGAAGCCACCTGGAGTGGCATTTCCTTGAACCCCAGAAGCTACACCACGGGGATTTCTGATACTTGCAGTGGCACCTGGACGCAATCCAAGATTCTTTTCTGCCTCTGAATGAATTTCAGTGATGGTTTTAGCTTTCACCTACATGAGTAAACATTAACATTTGATTAACAAACAAGTAAGGAGGTACCTACAGCAGTTGAGGCATAGCATATTTACAAAACAATAAATCATGTAAATTTACCTCTTCACGTCTAGGAATCCAGTTATTAGTGCGCAATTCTAGAATATCACGAACCATAAACCGCAGCCGTGGTGCAAGTTGGGGGTTGGTGCTCAATTCTTTCAACCGGCTAAAGTACATATCATTTATACGTCGAGATTTTGGGCTTTCATCGAGCTGCTTACCAATAGTGTTGAAAAATTGACATATGGCTTCAACATTTTCCTCAGCTGGACAGACCTTGCTGTCAGGGGGTCCTAAAAGCTCCTGTTCCAAGTATCAGTCAACCATGCATATAAGTGCATACTCTCAAACCAACAAGAAATTATATAACAGTCAAGTCTCAAGTCCTGATAGAACCTGAACAATGTGATGAACAATCTTTTCAGGAACCATTTTTTGCTTCAACAGCTCACCAATTAAACGGATGTTTCCAAGGGTTCGAATCTTCAGAAGTCTTTCCTTGTCCCTTCGCTCCATCTCCTGGTCAGGAGCAGTCATCTGTCTCAATTCTTCCCTTAGTTTATCTGCACCTTCAAAAGCCTCCTGGCAGATATTCAAAAGTACTCGCTTAAAAGTGATTTCTTTCCCACCAGGCTCATCAGATGGGAATGGAGGCAGCTTTTCATTAAGATCAGAACACAGCAAAGCATACATGGGGCAAAATGTTGGTTCCAGCACTGCCTTATCAAATATTAGTGAAATAACTTCCTGCATTACCAATTAAGTCAATTAAGAACCAGGATGCAAACAGAAAATTAATTTTAATAGAAATTAAAATGAACCTTCAATATGTCAGCAGATGTAATGCCAGCATCAATCAACTGACCCTTCAGGAGATCAAATTTCTCAGGAGTCAACTTATTCAGTATTCTGCATTGAAATAGTTAAAACACATGATCTATCAGTATCAGCCACGTAATTTTGAAGAATCTTAACAGAGTAACATGAGTGAAGAAAGAAATAAAAATAATGTTCAAAAAAATAGTTCAAAGTTAAATAGTTCATACAGAAAAAAAAATAAATACACAAATCTTGTTACAACTCATAAATGTTGACTTTTCATTATTTTTCACAGATTGAACTCATAAAGTGAGTAAATTGGGAAGTGAGAAAGGGTGGTGCATCCACTATTGATTTAAAGGGATTAAATTTATGAAGTACTTTAATTCACAACCGGTAAATACACTCTTATTTTCCCATTTTATACACTTCATCAATTTAGAGGAGACAAATCCATTTTAAACATAACATGGTATGATCCCACAGAATGTTCTTCATTCAAACTTTGTTACATTTACTTGTCAACATACTTTTTCCATGCACTCTTTATTGATGCACTTAAATCAAATGGGGCTCACTCCCTATTTAGTTGGGCTCACTTCCTATTTAGTTGGATCCATACAAAATTCACCCAATAATAAAGGGCATGTAGAAAATAGTATGTTGCTAGCAATTCTCAATTATAGCCATCTAAGGATATACAAATAAATGTTAAAAGCTCAGAATACATAACCATCCAGAAAGCTACAACAGGTAAAAATCAAAAGAATATCCCCGTTAAACTAGTAACAACTAACAAGTACTACAAAATAAAAATATATTACCCCTTAACTGTCTTTAAGACACGATCCTTTTCAGAGAGACTTCCCCTTCTAGCTGACCATGGCACCTCAGCCTTGACTAGTGTTGGAGTAGGTCCGCCCTGAATTAATAGAGGTAGAGGAATTACAAATAATACAAAAAAACAATTTATCCATTGTACACTACGAGAGAATCTTTCAATGCCATCTACTTATAAGCTCGTAAAGCTTTTACTTCAGGGAAACCTTAGTTACCATAATGATGTATCACTTTCTTGTTTAATGATAATGTGAATAGTTTTTAACTGACACTGGCTAAAATTTAAACACAAAATATTAACTAAAAATGGATATCATGCATTTCTAGTACCCCTTGGTTAGAAGAGATTTGTGCCCTTACAAACTGAGAATTCAGTTGATCTTGACGATTAATCTGACTAGTATTGCCAAACTCCCTATTCTCTCTGAGATTATCCCAAGTCCTCTCATCTGCATTACCAGAAAGTTGTCCAGATCGTCCACGCCAGTCACGGTTATCTGGCTCAGAATATCGATTTTGAAATTGAAGAGAAGGCTGCAGAAGATAGAATATACATCATTACACAAATTTTGAATAATTGAACTTATTATTTTGAAAATGAACACAAATAAACTCATAAAACTCATGATTTAACTGGTAATAAAAATAGCAGCATCTCATACAAATATTATACTTTTTTCCATTCACTGATCATTGATGAGTCCCTGTAAAATACTAGTATGTTAACGGAAAAAAATTAATCAACTCTAATAAACTTGATCAATCAAATTACCAACAGGATGGAGGAGGAATAGGGTCATAGTTAACAACAGAAATAGGAAACAAAATCACTCACGTTGTTTTCTGAGCGGCCCCAACTTGGATCTTCACCAAAAAGCTCAGCTTCAATATCTTGCTTGATCTTTAAAATGTCGTCAAGGATATCAACACCCTAACAGTAAAAAGGTTCAACAATAAGACAAATGATGAAATATAACGGCTTAGATGTCAAAGGAAGTGTTAGTCACAAAAACACTGGAATACATGGTTTCAAAAGAAGTTGCCTAAAGAAAAGAGACAAGATATTTAAAAATAAAAAACAAAAAACATGTTAAACATTTATGCAGAGGCTTAGGGAATAACATAGGTTGTCTTTTAATGAACAAGAGAGTTCCATAGAAAATTTGACAGCCTCTGTTTACGTTTAAGTAATATAGGTAAATGTATGACATAAAATAGTACATACACACAAGGCAATCTATATACAGGCAATTAGAAAGATAATCCAATAACTAGACATCACACAATGTTGATTAGTCACAATTTCCATATTAATAGGCAACGAATCACAAGTATGCAGTAGATGGAATTAAAAAGCTCCTTCAGAAAAAGTAAAATTAATTAACAACATTTAGGCAGCAATAAGATATAAATTACCTCTCTAAGCTGTAAGAGCTGTTCCCTGGTATATCGCACACGCTCACGACCCTCAAACCGTGAATCTCCAGCCTACAAAACCAGAAGTTTTTAGATACAAATCCCTTGACGTAGTACACGGTTAAACCATCACCATTCAAGAAGATAACTTCAGTAAGTGCAAGATGAGTCAGAGGTAGGGGATAGGATCATATGCAGCGGTAACAAAAGGGTAAAATTCAATGGAACTAAAATCTATGGGAAAACATAACAGTTAAAATAGCAATCAATTGTTTTCAGCCATGTCCTTCATGAATAATGGTGATTATAAAACATTACACATGCATTCTGCTCTACAGGGAACCTGATAATAAGTAAACAACTAAACATATACCTGATCATCACATGAACAAAAAAATATTCACCCCCAACAAATTCATTTGTAAATATATTGGTTGTGGTTATGTCAACAAATTTACAACACCACCAAAAAAAACATAACCACTCAACAGAGTCATTCATTGCCTTTGCAAGCATTGCTTTCCGAACATAAAAGTATAAGATTTATCACGACCTCTCAAGCACTGGATCCAGAAGTTGGAAAACAGTGCCAAGAAATAATAGTCGCTGCCAAATTCCCATGAATGACCCATTAAGAAAAACACATACAGACCACTGCACCAAGGAAACGATATCAGATCTTATGCCAAAAAGAAGCTGCCAAATCCACCATAGGTCTCAAATTAAGTTCAATGTATGTGGGACCTTTATGGGTAACTTGAAATTTAGTCAATCCCACCTAAAGCCCACGCATTTGCTTTTTGTCCATATTTACAGCAGGTACACATACTTAGTGTCCAGCCAAGAATTAGGACATTCAAATTCAGTTTTCCCTTTCTTTTATGGGCCTCAACTTAAATCCTTACATACAGTATAAAAAAAACACACACACACACAATAACAACGAACAAATGATATATCTTTCTTTGTTTTAGTTCCTATTAATTGCTTCTTCTAAAGGATTCTCTTCATGTTTTAGCACGCCAAGATGGTGCCAAACAAATTAGTTAAGTATTTAAATTCCGAAAAACAACATCATCAAATCCACACACATTCAAATCCACATATTGGACAAACAGAACATACACCAAAAAAAAACCTGAGTGCCAATCAACACCAACCACGGATTATTCCAAATTCAATCTTCGGAACAACAATACCTCACCTCAAATTTAAAATGAAAAAAAAATCATGTTGAGCCTTGGTACTATTGAATTCATCAAGTGAAAACGAGATCCAAAAAGTATATACATATAAAAAGAAACAGAGATAATATGTTATTAGAAATCAAGGTTAAAAAAAAAGAAAGAAATAGAGCATGAGCAATGAGCAATGAGCATGAAATTATGAATATAGAGCAAAGAAAAGAGAAAAGGGGAAATTGAAGAGGCTGAAAGGCAGATCGAGAGAGAAGGGATTGAAACCTTGATAGAGAAGGGAGAAGGAGCGGCGCCATGAGGACGCAAGTGAGGAAGATCAGCGGAAAAGGAGCCAAAAGCGGGGGAAGCAGAAGACGTGGATGAGGAGTCAAATCGAGGACCGAGGAGCCTGCCGCCTCTACCACCACCGGGCCTCAAGCTCAACACCGTTTGATCACCTTGCTGCATACCTCGCGATGCAATCTTGGCCGTCCGATTGATAAGAGGAGGGAGGAAGGAGAGAGCAGAAAAGGAGAGGAGAAGGGATAAATACGGTTGGATTGGGAGTACGCTAGGTATTCGATATTTCTCTCTCTTCTGCCGAGTGAGAAGAGAAGAGAGAACTGCGTGCGTTAGTGAGAACGGAGGGGTCACAAAAAACCCTTCTTACTTCTTAGACCACTTGTCTTCGCTCCTCCATCTTATATTTTTTCTTTTTTCTTTTTCCCAAAATTAGGTATACCAAATTACCACAATTTCACATTCCCCCCTCTTCTTATGGATATTATACTTCCCTACATCTTTCTATACACTGCTTTTTCTGCAAAATCTATGTACTTACTTATACACGCATCCAAGCCTAAATGCGTGTGGGCCGGATGCCAGACCACGGCCCACGCTACCGATACAAGATTTGCTTTTTTTCCTCAACAACATGTTTAAATTGGATTCTGTTGTTGATGATACATTTACAGCCACCAACACAAAAATAAAGTATCATACCCAAGAAAGATGAATATGTGTTGCATCCTTGTTGAAGAAATGGAAAGGAATAATTCGAATGCTATTAAACCCTAACATTTTAATATCATCATGATATCGTATTCAACATGGTACGACTGACATTTCTTTCTAAAAGGGACAAACGTGTAAAATACATTTATACTAGAAAATAGTTATAATTTTCATTAATTTCTTAATAAGGTTGCAAGCATCTCATCTAAACCACAAATATTATATTAATAAATCTAAAGGTGATTATAAATTTTACCACCATAAAATATAAATCACCTATCTTACTTGTTCACCCTATCTTGATTTAAGAAGGAAAGTGAAAGAAAATAAAAATAAAAAAATTGTTTAGTAGTTAAGAAATAATAGGATTTGACACACCGTTTATTTATCTTGACGTAATCAATTGTTGGATGCACCTTTAAGACATTCTAATGTATAATCATATCATGTTAGTACAGTGCAATTTCAATTCTTATGCTAAAATAATAGTTGGTTAGAAAACATGATAATAATTATAATTTAAGAAAAATTATATTTTCTTGTAATTTTATGAAAATAAGTACATAAATATTTTTTGTATCATAAGTATTTTTTCTTTTTTTCTTAAAATTATAATTTAAAAATTGTAATAAATTTAAAAAAAATATATATATATCATAATTTAGTATTATATTATCATATCATATATTGAACATCTAATGAACCCAAAAAAAAATGAAAATACAAAATAATTATTTAAGTTGTTTCAAAATTTTCTTCTCCCGTCTTTTTTCTCAATCTCATTGGTTTTGCAATTTAGGTCATAATTTCAGTAATTTATTAAATTAAGTTTTCCAAATCAAAATTCTTTTGTTTAGTTATTATTTCAACAAAAGAAAGCATATAAATATTTTGTTTCTATCTTCTTTTAAATGAACCAAAGATTGGAATAAATAATTTTTTACAACTTTCCTTCTTTTTTTGTTTTTTATTAAAACAAACACAACTTACATATTTGATTTTTTAAAACCAAACTTCTATAAATGTTTGTCTTCAAATTCATATGCATTTTTCAATTAATTAACATTATCAACAATCAAATCATCTTGTCAACTGCATAATATAAATAAATAAGATTATTTAAGATAATTTGTTTGTATTATTCTGCACTACATTCTATTTTTATGATATTTAAATTTGAACTTTATTTATTCAACAACTCTTTATTCATAGTTATTGACAAGTACTCTCACTAAGTTATTTTGCATTGTCCCCTAAACAATATACAATGAGATTATCACTTTTGTAATTATTATTATTCTTAATTTTCTCCCATAAGTCCATAAGTTATCATTAATCAGGTATTCATAATACAATTCTACCTAATATTGATTTGTGTGCCTATATTATCGTGTCTAGTATATCAGTGTCACAAGTAAACTTATGTAGCCTTGTGTTTGAATCACCAATAAAAGTTCTCAATCTTGTTATAATGTTTGTAATGTCTAATCATATTAGCAAACATTTTATTGAATCAAAAATCTTGTTTTAAAATAATAGACGATCCCTTAATGATAAATAAAAAATTTTCTTTAAGTAAAATCAACATTCTTCAAAGATATATCATGTCAAACGTAATGTGAAAAATATATATATCATTTAAAAGATAAAAGGAAATCAAATGAAACATACAGTTTGTCTTAAGACATCAAATCGAATACTTCCAAAATGGTCTAACATTAAATTTCATTTAATGTGTTGTTCCTTAACAGATTGAACAATAAAGAAGCTTCGGAACTCTCAAAGTCTAAAGATAAAATTTTCAAAATAAGCAAAAGGCAAACTCTTGAATATCACGGACAAGGCTCTGCAAAAGACTGCTCTGCTTTGACCCCAACTACTCTATGTAGAGATTGCTTTTTTGATGCTCATTTTGGAAAGAAATGATGATAAGTAGTCTACAAAATCAGATAAGAGATACACGTCTTACTAAAAGTCATTTAATGTTTGCATTAAATGCATCAACGTAATATTTAAGATTAACAAAGAAGATATACGAAACAACTAAAGAATAAAATTGAATAGTTCAACTCAAAGTTGTGATGATCATCTTCTCTGAAACTACTATAAAAGGACCAAGCCTTCAAACAACAAATAGACACAAGATAGAGAAAAAATGTTGTAAATAAAATAGAAAAGCATTTACTAAGAAGTGCATATTGAGAAACACACTGAGTCACAAAAGGTTGAAGTACTACAAAGAAGTTTTTCATTATAAATCTTGTACATAGTTCTTTGTAAACTATTTTGTACATAAGTTTCATAACATCACATTAGAAGAGACGAAGCTATCTTTGTAACTTTTTTCAAATTCATTTGTAAGGGTTGAGCCTGGAGAGACTTGTTCAAAATAATATTTGGTGTTTGAGCCTAGAGAGGCTTGTTGAAAGAATATTTGGGTAGTTGCTTGAAAAGGCAAGTCAAAGACTACTTAGGTTGAGCTTTAAGTGACTTGTTGAAATAATATTTGTATCTTGAAAAGATAGTGAAACTCGATTTTGTTAGATTGAAAATTGGACATAGTCTCTGTGTTTGAGATAAACCAGTATAAAAAATTTATGCTCCTTCATCTATTACTTTCTAGTGTTTTGTCTGTCAAAACCCTTACTACTTCACTACATTTCAAAAGTGCGATTTTTTTTAATACACATTATTCAACCGCCTTTTATAATATGTATCTTTTTCTCCAACACATTTGAACCCATATCCTTTTAGTCATCAATTTCCTTTTAGACTTATGCAAACATGTATAAATTCATTCACTTATTTACCAACCAATAAAAGTTCTCAACCTTATTATAATACTTGTAATGCTTAACCATATTACTTGTGAGAAGTAAGTTCATCAAATTTGAGTTTGTGCCCTTTTACACATCAATTCCATCATTTGCATACTTTAATTTGTCATGATTATTTATGGCAAACTTGTGCCTATGTGACCCACTTCAGGACCACAAGTCTAAGTAGCTACACTCCAAAGACTCGATCAATATTTGACTTCAATGCATGAATTTTCCTACAAACCTTCATATTAGATTGCTCCTTGAATTCAAAAATAAGTGAGCTATGAGCATGCCATACAAACCAAATGATGATAGAAATCCAAATCCCATGTTGATTGTGAGCTTTTTCAACTAGAGAAGAATATTACTATTTGGACCATCCAAAATTAATAGTTGATTGAACTCACATTTATACCAAAAGGTAATCATAGGTACAAGAAAACAAACAATGAACAATGTTTTCTTGTTCGTTGGAGCACCTAGGGCAAGAAAAATTGACTCTCACAATCCTTCCAATTATGATATCTATAACCAAAAGAGTTAGGTGAAAAATCTACCGTGAAAAAAACTTCAAATTAGCCAAAAGGTGTAATCTACAAATCCATGTCTAAGATCCCACACCACTAGAACAACTTCTCTTCCAACCAACCACTCGTGTGCAATGTGCATGGTATACTTGCTTAAGATGTTGGGACCTCATACCCATAAGTTTGACAGATTACGAAGCATGATTCAGTAAATTTTTCAATTTGTTTGAAGTAATTCATCAGAAAGATTAGTGAACAAGTTTGTCAAACTCTAGTCATTATCACTTACTTTGAATTTCACATCATAAATATCCACTAACAAGACTACATTAATCAAAGGTTGCTTACAAGCCTATGGCTCCTCAAAAAAGTATTTTTCCTTATTACCAAACTTGATCTTAAACCATTCCTTTAAAGAGTTAAACATTTTTAGAATTAAAATATGAGATCTAACTTTTAAAAAAATACATTTAAAAATACTATTTTATCTTTAAATGAGTCGGTTTGATGCTATAGAATTATATATTTTCATCATAAAAGAAAAAAAAGTCTATTACCTCATAACAATGGATAATTTGTTAAAAAACATCCCATTAGTTCTTACCGATGTCAACTCGTCTCCTCACGTAAGTCTCGTCTCTTCACGTAAGTGGTTGTTCTTCACGATGTCCGATCTCCTTTCTTCTTGCTCCTCGGATGTACCTGCAGATGATCGTATGTTGCACGACTAGCATGGGTATGTGTAGAACGGTGAGTTCGGAAGGATTCTAAAGCGTAAGTGGGATCTGATGTGGAATGATGCTCTTCGGTTGTCGTTGGAACATGGCTAGACCGAGGTGGTGGCGATGGGGAACGATGTTGTTGCCCATGGGCTCGAAAGGCTGCATTCTCGGCACGTAACTGTTGCAAAACATCCTCATGTTGTTTGCGCATGCTCTCCATCGCTGCTGCATGTTGTTGCTGCATCAATTCGATTTGCTCAAGTAACCGCCTTAAAGTGGCGTTGTCTTCCATGTTGTTGGTTTGACTCCGAGTTGAAACCATAAGGTAGTCGGAGGGAGAATTTTAGCAGGCCCTCCTTCTAGCGCCAAATGTTCTTACCGATGTCAACTCGTCTCCTCACGTAAGTCTCGTCTCTTCACGTAAGTGGTTGTTCTTCACGATGTCTGATCTCCTTTCTTCTTGCTCCTCGGATGTACATGCAAAAAGGACGCCGACGATCAAGTTAGTCTATCTTTCTATCTCTCCTAATGTCTATCTTATTACATATCGTTTACGGTTACCTCTTGTAACTGTTGTACCGTTACTTGTGGTCGGTTAATTGCGGTTAAGTTATCTATATGCCAATGTGTTCAATGATATTCGTATGTCGAGATGGACATAG